CCAGGAAGAACGTGCCACTGGCGAAAAAAATCTGTGGGTGGAACTGTGCAAAAAACGCATCCTCGTGCCAGCAACCGGTACGCTTTCTGCTAAGTTTGCAGCTATGCAATGCAGAAGAAGCATATTGACGACGGGTTGTCTGTGTGCGTGTGTATGTATGTGTCTGTGTGTTCGTTTGTACCCGTTTTTCATCTCGAGACCTGCGAAAGCTACGGGGCTGAAATTTTTTTGTGGGGGGGAGGTGCTTGTACGGGCCCCATCTCTAAAATGAGCGCTCTTACACGCGTGGTACTCACGCACGAGCCGCCAAAGTTTTTACGGGTAAGTCGCTAACTCGGGAATTTGAGGAGGTAGAAGGCTGGAGTTTTGAAGGAATGTTTCCTAACAGTTCTGATGACCAGTTTGAAATCCTTTTAGCTAGAAGCATCTACCGGAAAACCAGTGCCGTTGGCGACAAAAATTTGCGGGGAGCTATGCAAATCATTGGCGATGCGCACTGGGCGTGCCCGTGCGAACATGCGTTTTTGCAGTGTTTCGTGCTGTAATAAGATCACTCGAAATCCCGCTAGCTAGAACCTCTGAAATACTGGTCCTCGAATTTCGGGAAGTTAATTGTCCACGCTATACTTGGATAGGGAACATTTCCTTGAAATCCCAGGTTCCCAGCTTTCCCAGTTCCCGAGTTACCCAAATTCCAGCCAGAAAATTTCGCGGGGCCGTAGTGGCGACCACGCATGACTGATGAATTTGAGTAGTAGATGAGCTGGTAACATTTGCTGAGAGTTTCAGTCTCCCAGTTTCCCTGGTTCCGGAGTTAGCCATTTTCCCGCCAAAAATTTTCACGAGGCCGCACTTAGCAACCGCGCATAACGGGGGACTGTATTTGATAAATTTAAGTTGTAGATCAGCTGGAAACATTTCCCGAAAGTTTCAGCTTTCCATTTTCTCGGATTCCGGAGTTATCCATTTTTCCGCCAAAAAATTTCACGGGGCCGTACGTGATAAACACGCATGACGGGGGCCCGAATCTGATAAATTCAAGTTGTAGATGAACTGTGAACATTTGCTGAAAGTTTCAGCCTCCCAGCTTTCTTGGTTCCTGAGCTAGCGATTTTCGCA